GTCGCTGGCCAAGGTATGACGACTGCTGGTGCCGCGATCGGTGCCAGCCCTATGCCAGCCGCTCCGGGAATGTCCCCCGCCGGCGAGTTCAACGAGTTCTTGGATTACGAAGACAACCAGTTTGGTGACTCGAGTCCCTTGCCGACAAACTTCGATCTATCCGCCCACGATACCCTCACCCTATCCGAGTTCCCCCAGTCGCTCCACGAAGCAAAGTCGCTCGAGCCCCAGGCCACCCTGTTGGCTACCGGCACCGTCGCCGCCGGCTCACCCGACTCTCTCATCGACTCCTTCCGCGATTCGTCCTCCGACTCTGCCTCCTCCAAAAGGACCGGCAGCTCCGCCTCTGGAAAAACGGCCTTGACGGCGGGCGACGTAATGATGACAGATGGAGCCGATATCAAGTCCGACTGGAACCCTACCCTCTTCGCCGGCCGCCCAGAAGAGAATGCTTTCCTCTTCGGCGGAAACGGCGACGCGACGCTGCCCGACGGCCTCGATTTCAACGATGACAAGTTCATGGAAGAGTCTTTCGACTTCGAGAGTGCGTCGAGCAGTCCCAACGCCGCCGGTGCCATGAGCATGGAGTCGCCCGAGATGCCTACCATCCACGCCAACGCACCGCAAAAACCGGTCGCCCCGAGCAATCCCAGAACCGCAAGCCATGGCAAGCGGAATTCAGTGAGTCCCTCCCTCCTTTCGCGGCACGGACGGGGGAAAAAAACGACTAACTCGGCCCAGCAGTACTCCATATCGCAGCCCATGAATGGTCTCAAGATGACCAATTCGAGGGAATGCTCCCCAATGTCCCAGAACATGATAACGAGCCACGAGGCATCTCCGTCTGCCTTTTTCAACAGCTCGCCGTCACCCGGCGCGCCCGACTTCTCAAACGCCGCCGTAATGGGTGCTATGAACCCGAATGGCTTCTGGTCGGGCAAGCTGGATCCCGCGGCGCAACAGATGGTCGCCAACATGTCCATGCAGCCGCAATACCACGCACACGACGGCCTTCCGGTCTCGATTCCCCAGCAGATGCCCATGTTCACCCAGCCGAATTTCGATTTTCTCAGTCGCGGCTGCCGGTTGACGATCCATCCCACACCGTCCAAGTCGCGAGTCGAAACGCAGATTCCCATCAAAATGACCCTTTTCCCGCTGCCTCCGGGCATCAAGCGTCTGCATCTCCCGGTACACACTATTTCGAAGCCCAAGCTGCTAGCGAAGCCACCAGCCGAACGGACTCCCGACATGTTGGAACTGTACACCATGCTAGTCTGCACTAGCGCAATGCAAAACGAGGACAACAAGCGCAAGGCCTTCCAGCGCGCCGCAGCCGCCACTCACAGTCCTGTCATGAACGCCCGGTCCGTCAGCGATGATGACGACGAAGAAAACAAGCCGCAAAACGGAGGCGAGGTGCGCATCTGTGCCGGCTGTATTACTCGCGAACGCAAGCGGGCCGCGAGGAAGAAGATCAAGAAGGTTGAGGAGGAGGAGATGTGGAACAGGGACGAGACGAGACGCGTGATTGTTTTCAACACACAAGAGGTCAAGGAATGGCAGACTCCCAATGGCGTCGTGTCGGACTCGACAGTGACTGGCCGGCCGGAGCCGGTAGCTCCCCCTGGTGCCATGCAGGTTGATGCCCCGATGCGAATCGCCTGCTACTGCCGGCATCACGCCGAGAAGCTGGGTTTTCAAGTCATCTTCACCATCAAGGACTGGCAGGACCGGGTCGTTGCGCAGGAGATGTCTCAATCCATCATGATCACCGACGACCACAAGACGCATCCGATCCCCCAGCAACTCAACCCCCCTACCACGCAAGCCTCCGACAGCACCAACCTCGTACCCATGATGAACGCTCCGATGGAAACCAGCCCGCTCAGCTCGGGTGGTGCTCCATTCCGACTTTCTCATTCGAGCTCCGACCTCCAGAACATGCACCGCAACTCCGCTCCCCAGTTCCCAGCCCCGAACCCAACGGCCAAACCGCCGGCCCCCGCACCCTCGACCACAACGCCTCGGTCACTATCGCGGCCACAATCCCCTAACGCACACGGCGGGCCGCAGACGAAGAAGCGCAAGGCCAGCACCGGATCGCGGGTACCGATAGGAATGGCAATGACCCGTCTGGACACGACGCCGCCGCCTACCCAAATGCCCGGAAACCCGGTGCCCGCGCCTGCCTCTGCTTCGACGTCGCCGTTTACGCCCAATCTCACCAACTTCCAGACCCCTCCCGAGACTGTGTTTGTTCAGAATGGTGCCGCGCCACCCATGCCTCAAGCATACGCTACCGGGCCCCCTACCCCCAACAGCAACGACCAAACCATGTTCACCAACGCCAACCGCTCCGCCAGCATGGACAACGTCGCGATGCCAATGTTCTCGGCGCCAGCGTCGGCACACCAGAGCCGCGCCGCGAGCCCTAGCGGACTGCGCAACGGTGTGAATGCCGTGTCGCAAAATCAGTTCAACGCCATGTCATACATGCCGACTAACGCGGTTGCCCCGGCTCGACCGCAGCCAACAATCCACAAGATCATCCCCAACGAAGGTCCGAAATCCGGTGGCATCGAGGTTACGATTCTCGGGGCCAGCTTCTACCAGGGCCTGGAAGTGCTGTTCGGCGATCAAAAGGCTACCACAACCACCTTCTGGGGCGAGTCTTCTCTGGTTTGCCTCTTGCCGCCATCGCCGGTATCTGGCGCTGTCTTGGTCACCTTCAAGCAGAGTCAGACGCAAGCCGGACCACCGTTCCCCGCGCTTTCCAAACAGAACCAGATGTTCAAGTATGTGGATGACGATGAGGAGAAACTCATCCGCACGGCCCTTTCGATTCTGGGTCACAAGATGTCTGGTCAGATGGTTGATGTCAAGGAACTTGCTCAACGCATTATTGGTCAGGGAGATTCCAGCTGGGGATCCGGCCCATCGGGCAATTCTGGCTTTGGTGGCAGCACATTCACCATGAGCACGGAATCGCAGCTGTTGAAGTGCCTGGAGCTGATCGACCTCGACGACAACCCCAGAATGTCTCGGCTTGACTTGAGACGGTCTACAGGCCAGACGATGCTGCACATGGGCTGCGCCTTGGGCTATCATCGATTCGTCGCTGGCCTGCTGGCGCGTGGTGCTAACCCGGATCTGCGTGACAAGGGCGGCTTCACCCCTATGCACTTGGCGGCAATGAACGACCACGAGTCCATCGTGCGTAGGCTGATGCAGGCGGGTGCCGATCCCACGATCCGAAGCCTTTCGGGACTTCGCCCGGCCGACGTTGCTCGGTCACGCAAGGTCATTGGGCACATCCGCCGCTGCGAGCGTCACATCCGTTCCCGAAGCGGCGGCTCTCTGCACAGCAGAGCGAGCAGTGCAGCGTCGTTGAGGTCGCTCTGGGACCCCCTGGGCATGTCTAGTGAAGAATCAGCAGACGACGGCGAGGAGAGTCCCGAGTACTCGTCTGGCGACTACGAGGACGACGAACAAGAAGAGGAAGACTCTTGGCTTGACATGCGTCGCCGATCGAGCAATCATACGTTCACGCCGCGCCCAGACAGACAGCTACTTTCACGAGGCCAGGAGGAAGTGCAACCGGGGCTTGCCTCGCCCACGACTGCCATTGCTTCTGCCGTCCGGGACCAATTCTCCGCCCAGTTACAGCAGTTCCAGCAAGCAATGACGATGCACTTCCCTAACCTGCCTCAGATGCCCGCCCTGCCCAGAATGCCGATGCTCCCCGACTACCATGCCTACCTCCAGCAAAACCCTCTTATGGGAAGGATGACCTCACTCATGCCCGGTATGTCTGGCTCGCGGCCGGGCTCGGCAGATGACGAGACTCCACGACAGATGGACGGCAAGTGGTGGGATCTTTCGTCGTTCAGGAACAACAACAATAACTCGGCTCCGCCGCCGGCGTACGACGAGATCTTCCCTCAGGAAGAGCTTGACAAGAAGCAGGCGGCTGCCGTTGGAGCGGCTGCCGAAGCCGCGGCCGACATTAAATGCGCCACGCTCTACGATACCCAGACCACTGAGACCGCGGAGGCATCCTCAAGCACGGCCCCAGTCCCGAGCGTGCTTCGGATTGGACGCAAGAGCGCCATCACGAAGGAGCAACAACAGAACTTTCTCAGGGCCCACGAGGCCAAGTTCAAGGGAATGCGAAGCGACAAGAATCTGTGGTTTATTTGGGTGAGTTTTTTCTTGCCAACCTTGTTCGTTTTCACAGACCAACTAACGCCTTGTAGATTCCCCTTCTCACGTGTATAGTGGCTGCTATGCTGTACAGCCGTTTCCCTCACTACTTTGCCATGGCATGGGCCATGCTTCAATCTGTTGCGAGAGTCGACCAGGTCCCCGACATTGTAAGGAACGTCCAGGACCGCGTGGTTGAGGTCCTCTAGATCGGTTCGACTTGCTTCAGACAAACTACTTACGCATTTGGGCACACGCCACATCTTGCTCGTTTTTTTTCGGATCTACAGGGGAGAAATGGAGTTTGTGTCTACGGGGAACATGTGGAGCAGAGGTCACGCCCCTGTTTGCAGCAAACACGCCGGGTTTAAAGGAGGTGACGGGCACGGCCAAGGAATGCCGTGCCGTCTTGGGTCAAGGGTTAGGGACTTCGACATTGCGCAGCGTTGGTATGGAAAGAAAACCTTCACGGAACCAGGAAACCAACTCACTGGGCATCTTTCACTTCATCTTTTTCTTGATCAGTCTTTTTATTTGTTTTGCGTTTTTTCATTCGTTGGAGTTCCGCGAAGGAGTCTCGATTACATGTAGCTCGGCCGAGAAAGGCGGGCAAAGTAGGTCCTGAGGATCGACGAGGGAGGTTGTACCGAGTATATATATCTCTATAGCGAGGGGTGCTTTTTCTTCCACAACCATCTTACATAGAGGCGGGACGTTACGGTCTAGACCGTGGAATAATGTCGAAACCGGTACATTCATGGTCTTGTCCGTCCTTGATGTAAAGTGACGTGCTCCTCGCTGTTAGGCAGGGGTCTGGGTCTGCGGCTCTCACTATCTTTCGTCGCGGCAATGCCAACGGTCTGGCCATTGGCTGGTGAGCGACTACTTCAAGGGGCACGGTAGTTGCCCTGCTTCCCGTTGCCGGTGATGACTTGCTTAGGCCTCAGACAACGATCCCGTGCAGCGCTTCCTCGATCTGCATGTGCCCCGTTGGAAGTCCACCGGTCCTCCCCGAGCGCGTCATCGACTTCTTCCATCTCTCTCTCTCTCTCTCTCTCTCCTCCTGACTCCTGCTCACAAGCTCCGCCGCGGCGTTGCTGCTTTCAACGTCTGTAGGCAGGACCACAAGCTCTACACCTGTCTGCCTGCATCACCGCCGTCCGTCATCTTCCGCCCCCTGAGTATTCACCCCTGAATACTACCGCGCCGCTTCTGCTGGACGACGGGGCTTTGGGCTCGTAGGATAAGACAGGTCACCATGAGTAGAGCAGCTCTATAGTACTTAGCAATACAAGAATCTCCACTCATACAACGCACCCCCTAACAAATTGGTTGCACAACCAAATTGACCAGCCTCTGGGCACCAGGACGAACTCTTTCACCAGCTCAAGCACCAATCAATCAACTACTATCGATTACGATCAGCCCTGATCGACCAAGGCGAAGAACGAGGACGAGGAGACAAGACACGTTGGCACTGACTCCCGAGCTCGCTGCTCGCATCTTGGTGGACTTCAACTGCCTCGCTTCGTCAAGGCCACCGTCTAGGCCAGGCAGAGATGGGTTGCAAGCACGAGGCTTCATTTCGCCGTGTGGATGTGGACGCACGACTATACAGGGACTTGGAGCTGGGGTATGGGACCTAGAGCCGCGGCACATGGTGATTTTGTCAGTAGTCGTCTGACCTTCCTGGGGCACCGGGAAGCAAACCCTGGCGGGAGAGAGGGCTCGACTTCAGTACAACGGCAAGCCATTATCTACCAACACATGTCACAGACGCAACAACTCGACGCCAAGAGGTAGCAAGAGCTGCTGTCGGACCAAACTTGATATGCACACATTGTCATTGTCTCTCATATGTACAGAAACTACGTGGTATAAGCATAGAAAGGAGAAAAATGCCACTCGTACTTTAATAACAAACAACAGACAGCAGTCCCTGAAACAACAAGATTTCGCTCAAATGCAGGTTTTTGAGGGTATCACAAGAGACACCGTTTTGTGTAAAAGCGTGGGTATTTCCCGAATTCCAAATGATCTTCTCCCACACCTTGCTTTTGCCGGGCCTCTGTTTTTTTGTGGCCCCTACGTAACTCTCCCACCATCTAGACCTCGCGGTCGTGGGAATGTCCTTCTTCTTTGCGTCGTGCTCGCATGCATGCTCATACCGAAAATCAGGCCTTGGCGGGCTGGATCTGGCTGAAGATCTCCTGGGCGGTGCGCTTGATGATACCACCGGTGACGGGCAGGCTGGTGCACTGCTCGAGGAACAGGTCGATCTCGCGGGCGGCCTGTCTACCTTCGTTGATACCCCTGATGAGAGTGTTAGCTCATGATCAAATCAAGTCGGCTGGGTTGAAAGGGATTGAACTTACCAAACAATGAGGGACTGGCCACGGCGGCAGTCACCGGCAGCAAAGATACCAGGGATGTTGGTGCTGTACTTGCCGGGCGCGGTCTTGACGTTCTTGCGGGCGTCCTTCTCGATGTCGTCGCCGAAGATGCGGGTCTCGGGGCCGAGGAAACCCATGGAGAGGAGGACGAGGTCGGCAGGGAAGAACTGCTGCGAGCCGTCGATCTTCTTCATGTCCCAACCGCCGGTGGCGGAGCGGGTCCACTCGACGCGGATGGTGTTGATGCCCTTGACCTTGCCGGTGCCGTCGTCGACGAACTCCTCGGACATGATGCAGTACTCGCGGGGGTCCTTGCCCATGTGCTGCTTGACCTCGGTGTGGCCGTAGTCCACACGGTAGATGCGGGGCCACTGGGGCCAAGGGTTGTCGCGGGCACGCTCCGGCGGGGGCTGGGGCAAGAGCTCAAAGTTGATGACCGACTTGGCTCCGTGGCGGACGGAGGTACCGATACAGTCGTTACCAGTGTCACCACCGCCGATGACGATGACGTCCTTGCCCTTGGCCGAGATGTAGGAGCCGTCCTCAAGCTCGGAGTCGAGGAGGGACTTGGTGTTCTTGTGCAAGAACTCCATGGCGTAGTGGATGCCCTCGAGCTCACGACCCTTGATGGGGAGGTCACGGGCGACAGTCGCACCGGTGGCGATGACGACAGCGTCGTTCTCGGCCTTCAGGTCCATGAGCTGGATGTCCTCGCCGACGGCAACGCCGCACTTGAAGTTGATGCCCTCAGCAGCCATGAAGTCGGTACGGCGCTTGACGATGCGCTTGTCGAGCTTCATGTTGGGGATACCGTACATGAGCAGACCACCGGGGCGGTCAGCGCGCTCGTAGACGGTGACGGTATGTCCAGCGCGGTTGAGCTGGTCGGCGGCGGCCAGACCAGCAGGGCCGGAACCGATGATGGCGACCTTCTTACCGGTGCGGACCTCGGGAGGGGTGGGGATCATCCATCCCTGCTCGAAACCGCGGTCGATGATGGCGCACTCGATGGACTTGATACCGACGGGGTCCTCGTTGATGCCGAGAACGCAGGCACCCTCGCAGGGAGCAGGGCAGACACGACCGGTGAACTCGGGGAAGTTGTTGGTCATGAGCAGACGGTTAAGGGCGTCACGCCACTGGTTCTGGAAGACCAGCTCGTTCCACTTGGGAATGATGTTGGAGATGGGGCAACCGGTCTCGGACTGGCAGAAAGGAACACCGCAGTCCATGCAACGAGCGGACTGGTACTTGAGCTCGTCCTCGTCGAGACGGGAGGACAACTCGGCCCAATCCTTGGTACGGGTCTTGGGGTTCCTGTACTTCTCGGCACGGCGCTGGTACTTCATGAAACCCTTGGTCTTGTCCAGGACGAGGGCGCGCTTCTTCTCGGCAGCGTTGTCGCCAATGGTCTCCTCAATGTCCTGGAGCTTGGCGGCCTTCTCTTCCTTCTTGGTGTGAACGCCAGAGACAATGGGAAGGTTGTACTCGGCACGCTTGGCCTCAGCAGCCTTGGCGGCCTCCTCCGCGAGGACACGCTTGTAGTCGACAGGCATGACCTTGACGAAGCGAGGCAGAGCCCGGTTGAAGTCCACCAAGATGCGAGCGGCGAGCTCGGAACCAGTGTAGTGGTGGTGGTCCTCGATGAGGCCGCGGAGATAGGCGATCTCGGTGGGCTCCTCGACAGCCTCGGCCTCCACCATCTCGGTGTTGAGCTTCGAGAGGAAGTCCTTGTGAATGTCGAGGACGTAGGCGATACCGCCGGACATACCGGCAGCGAAGTTGCGGCCAGTGCTGCCCAGAATGACGATACGGCCGCCAGTCATGTACTCGCAACCGTGGTCGCCGACACCCTCAACGACAGCGGTGGCACCGGAGTTACGGACGGCGAATCGCTCCGCAGCAACACCACGGAAGAAGCAAGTACCCTTGGTAGCACCGTACAAGCAGACGTTACCAACGATGATGTTCTCCTCAGCCTTGAACACGGCGGAACGGGGAGGGTAGACAATCAGGCGACCACCGGACAGACCCTTGCCGACGTAGTCGTTGGCATCACCCTCAAGCTCGAGGGTAACACCGGGGGCGAGGAAAGCACCGAAGGACTGACCAGCGGAACCCTTGATGTTGACGTGGACAGTGTCCAGAGGCAGACCATCTTCACCGTAGCGCTTGGAGATGTGGTAGGACAGCGAAGTACCCATGGCACGGTCGGTGTTGACAATGTCGCACTCGATTCTGGAAGGCAGACCCTTGTCCAGAGTCAACTCGGCCTCAGAGATAAGCTTGTTGTCCAGGCGGACGTAGAGCTTGTGGTCCTGCTTGCGGACGTTGAAAGTAGCAACGCCGGGGCGGAGCTTGTGAGCAGGAGTCAAGAGGAGAGAGAGGTCGATGTTGGCGGTCTTGTTGGTGCGGAGATCATCGCGGACCCTGAGGACTTCGACGTGGCCAACCATCTCGTTGATGGTGCGGAAACCAAGCTTGGCCATGATGGCACGGAGCTCGTTGGCGACGTAGTAGAAGAAGTTGATAACGTGCTCGGGAGTACCGGTGAACTTCTTGCGAAGCTCGGGGTCCTGGGTGGCGATACCAACAGGGCACGAGTTCAAGTGACACTTGCGCATGAAGACGCAGCCCATGGCGATGAGAGGAGTGGTAGCGAAGCCCCATTCCTCAGCACCGAGCAAGCAAGCCATGGCGACGTCACGACCAGTGCGGAGCTGGCCGTCAGTCTGGACAACAACACGGCCACGGAGGTCGTTCAGGACCAGAGTCTGGTGGGTCTCGGCAAGACCGAGCTCCCAGGGGAGACCGGC